CCAAAATGGCACCAGGGTGACGCGGAGGAGACAAATTGTTGAATAAAGTCGTTATTTTTGTTTTCTTTGCGTACAAAAAGTATTCTCGTCGCTTCATAAAATTCAAATTGAACCACTGATGGCAGATGGACAATTTTGACGATGTCTTTCATACGTTTCTGGGCCTTGACAGTGTTATTTACTTGGCAGGCAATGGGACAGTTAATCAAATATCTCCTTTTGAGTTGAGCTTTTTGAGCTTTGTAACTTTGCAGATCTTTTTTATGCTCAAACAGCAACATTACAGACTAACTAAAGTAAAAAAAGTGAAAAAGCATAATAGGAACCCTTTAAGTGAAAATTCACCTCATCCAGTCCGTGTAGTAGAGGTTCTTTCCATCAGTAGTCAGTCCGAAGGGATACTGAATTCCCTCCATAAGCTGCCTCCGACTGCCCTGCTGCGGATTCATGCACTCTACTTTATGTGTACCTGCATCAGAAACACCAAACATCATCATTAACACAAACGAGACACTCAAACAGCTGTGACATTACTGCACTAGTAAATGTTTCTCAGTGAACTGGAGGCGTACCAGCATCCGCCCAGCACAGCAGAGACGTCTGGGGGTCGTAAGTTAAACCGTTGGGGAGGCCCAAATCATCCTTGGCCAGGACCCTGCGATTTGTGCCGTCCATGTAAGCCATCTCGATTTTGGGGGCGTCCCTGTTCCAGTCGGCCCAGTAAATGTAGCTGAGGAAGAAAAAGAAAAGCCTTTACAATAACTATTTCACTGCAGAAAAAATGGTACTTTGGAAATCACTCAAATTCATAATGCTAAGAATGAGTGTTTTGTAGAAACAAAGCCGTAATCATGGTCTAAAACTAATGCAGGTGAAATGAGAAAAAGCAACCACCATAAATATCAGCCATGAAACTGTATTTTGCATTATTTTTAATATAACGTTGTGCTGCTAAATTTAGGGTGCCTCTACACAGCCAAATTAAAGGGGTTAGTTCACCGAAAAATGAAAATTAGTCCATGTTTTACTCACCCTCAAGGCATCCTAGGTGTATATGACTTTCTTCTTTCAGACGAATCCAATCGGAGTTATATTAAAAAATGTCCTGGCTCTTCCAAGCTTTATAATAGCAGTGGGTGGGTGTTTTCGTTCAACAGTCCAAAAGACGTCAAATAAAGCGCATCCATAATTAATAAAACGTGCCTCACACGGCTCCGGGGGGTGAATAAAGGCCTCCTGTAGCGAATCAATGCGTTTTTGTAAGATATATCCATATTTAAAACGTTAGAAACTGTTTTCTCTAACTTCCGCTTTCCGTTCCCGAAAGCGCATGAAAAAACACCCCCCCACTGCCATTATACAGCTTGAAAGAGATAGGACATTTTTTAATATAACTCCGATTGGATTCATCTGAAAGAAGAATGTCATATACACCTAGGATGCATTGAGGGTGAGTAAATCATGGGCTAATTTTCATTTTTGGGTGAACTAACCCTTTAAGGCTGCTTAGTGCCTGCTCAAAATTCAGTGTAAAGACATAATGCCACTTTAAAGCCAGATTAGATTATGCCTGCTCTGCCACCTCTAAAGACACCTAAATGTCACTTAAGAAGCACTTCTTTGCTGTGTAACATTGGCATGTGTAAAGAAACATTTATTATTGAATTGCTCACACGACTTACAAGAGTCAGATTATCACACTTAATTGTTATCAGTCTTATTGATTTAACCAAGTATTGCGTTGCATTTCTATCCAACTATATATTTACTTGCCAAAATCACTGTTGTTAATTTTAGACGCTAGTTGTTTCTAGTTAGTCACGCACCCATTGGTGGGATCAGTTAGGATGGCTCTTGGGTTAACCAGGTCTGTGTTAATCAAGACACGGCGCTGCGATCCGTCTAATGAGGAAACTTCGATCCTGTCCTTCATGGAGTCTGTCCAGAACACGTTTCTGCCCAGATGGTCGATAGCGATGCCTTCAGGACTGCTGAGCTCTGACACAGAAATCAGTTTGAAAATCAGTGTCAGACAACTTCTTAAGATCCTTTGAAATCAAAACTGATCTTTTGTGATCCACAGAAGACTGTGAATAAGTTTGGAACGATGCAATGAGTCATTTTTGGGTGAACTATTGGTTAAAATTGATTCTACCTGATTTAATGATGTGGACGGGTTCTCCTCCTTGTAGACTAGCTTTGCTAATGGCAGGTGTGCTGATGTCTGTCCAATACACCATCTTCTCCACGCAGTCAAAAGCAATTCCAATCACCACTTTCTCCTGCAAAAACGATAAAAAAGACATGCATGGAACGACTCTAAAGCTGCCTTCAGATTCATACATCTGTCTGGCTGTGAACGGCTGTCTAGACAAAACGTGAAACCGCACATCCAGAATCTGAGTCAGATGACTCTTGGGCAAGCTTTGTTACCAACACATTTTTCCTTGCTTAATAAGCTTCACTGATGTTAGTCATTATAGTAAATGTTAGCATGTGAGCAGTAAATAAGAACAGATGGGATGTAGATTTATTCAGACTTATGATTTCCCACAGTACTGCACATAATAGGACCTAAAAAGTCAATTTCGTGGGTCAGTGGATGAAAATATGAACCCTGTGCATATGCTGCACATGTAGCTTAATACAATAAATTGGCAATATAATCAGAAATAGCGAGAAACCATAATAAATTTGGGGTCAGTAAGAGTGCTTGGACTCAGCAAGGATGCATTAAATTGATCAAAAGTGACAGTAAAGACAATTATAATGTTACAAAAGATTTATATTTCAAATAAATGCTGCTCTTTTTAAATTTCTATTCATTAAAGAATCCTGAAAAAAATTTTTTATCACAGTTTCCACAAAAATATGAAGCAGCACAACCAGTGGTCGAATTGTAAAATAATTTTCAAGTGGGGATGTTTTATAATTAATGTTTTGCGAGTGTGTTTTTGTGCTGGTTTAGGCTTGGATAAATAAATATGACACTAAATTCGCCAGTAGGTGACGGCAAGTGTCTGTTTTAATGAATGATTCATTGAACCTTTCAGTCAAACCATTCTTTCAAAATGGCTAATTCAATTAGTATCGAAGCAAGTTGACTGTCTTTATGAATGGATCATTACATAATTGGCTCACTTGATTCGTTCAAAAACAAATTAATTCAGGAAAAATACACCACAGTGTTGCTCTGTGACGCACAACAGCTCTGCTCCGGCTTTGTTTGCAAAACAGAAAAAAAAGACCAAACGTGTCTAAAATGTAATGTAAGGATCATGTGACACTGAAGACTGGAGTAATGATGCTGAAAACTCAGCTTTGATCACAGCAACAAGTTAAATTTTACAATATATACACATAGAAATCAGTTACTTTAAACTAATAATATTTCACAAAATGTACTGCATTTTTTATCAAATAAATGCAGCTTTGGTGAGCACAAGAGACTTCTTTCAAAAACGTTAAAAAATCTTGAATACAGTTTTATACTTTAGTCAAGGGCGCCTGCAGAAAACATGCGTTAACATAATTTTCCTTTGTAAATATTCTGCTCTGTTCTCCTGGAATCCCGCCTCACATTCTAAAGTTAAGGAGGTTATGTAATCAGCAAAGGCAGCACATGGCTCTGAAAAACAATTTCTCTCACACTAATATTTCCAAGAAAAACAAAGTTAAGCAATTCTAAAATTCCCCAGCGAGCCCCCAGCAGTTCTCTGGCTCAGTGTTATCAACAGTTTAACTGAGAGAGACGAACTACGAGCAGAACGCAAACCACAATGACACGTTCGCTCTGCAGTTACTAACATCACTAAACAGCCTCTCCATTAATGCATTCCAGAGCTTCAAAACATCAGAGCAAAGACTTCTGGATGAATCTACAGACTGTACAGAGCATAAAGCAATTTTGTGAATGATTTGGCCTAAAACACTTCATGACAATTCATAACCAACACAAGTATGTGTTGCACTCTCGGGCGTTAGTAAAAGGCTTTACCGGGAGGTGCAGTGCAGTCTTGGCTTCGTTCTTCTTCAGGTTGTGACCTTCCAGAGGAATATACTCAATCTTCCCGCTCTGGGCGAAGAGGATGTGGCTGCCAGGAGGCAAAGGACTGACGTTAGGATCGGGTGTTGGTCCAATCGGGCGAGGGACATCATGACCAGGACCTGAGGAACAGAAGATGCATGAATATTAATAAATTCATTTATAATAAATTCATATAACTATGACAATTCACCACCTATGTCAGGGTTCCGAATTCTGCCAACAATACCAAACCAAGGGCCACTGACCTATATATATATATATATATATATATATATATATATAATTGTTATTATTATTACAATTA